CATCCAGTCCCTGGCTTGGCTGTATCCGAGCCAGCCTTCAATGGAGGGTCGAAGCGAAGAATAGCGCCATCAAAGGCGGTGCCCGTAGTTTTGTAGTCCGCAGCGGGCAGTATCATTCCATCCGTCAGTGGCCCCGCCAGGAGCCCTTCATTCAACCCCGAGGCCCCATATATGAGTTTTATGCGCTCAGCCAATGCATCTCTTGCTGCTGCTGTGTCAGACCCGAATTTCAACCCGTCCTTTCTCCTTGACGTATCGCTCATATACGGATACACCTTGATCGTCTTCACAGCTGAGCGTTGCAGCGGTGGAGGAGCTGCCTCCACGCGAACAATACCTCCCATTAAGCCTTCCATCCCCAGAGCAGTGCATAGTAAGGAAGAAATGGCAGCATGCTGTGTGTCCGGAGCGTCAATCCAGGGTGCCAGTTTGGCCACTAACTTGGTTGTTGGTGTTCCGGCTTCGTTCGCCTTTTGCTCTGCTTGGTCCATTTGTTGCTGTGGATCAAGCGGCGCTTTGAGACCGGCCGGTTGCACGACGGAAATACAAGCCCAAGTGGCTCCGCGAAGCTCGTTTGTCGCAAGCATGTCAGGATCTATCCAGATACGGAAGCCATCATTCGCATCTGTCTCTGCCTCGTCATCGAAGAATTGCTCCGACAGATGACGTTCAACTCCTCTGAAGAAGAGAGAGCCTCTGCTTGTGGGATCTGAGCGGCTGCTCTTAGGCCGCACCGTGCTTCCGCTACTTCGTCCACCCACGCTTTTCCGGCTACTGCCAGCGACGCTGCGATTGTCACCGCGAGACCCCCTGTTAGCCTTGGGTCGGGTTTTTGGAGCAACGATAACTTCCGCATCTGGGGCTATCTTCGCAAACGGTGAGGTGTTAGGAGGTGCGGGCGTCATAGAGGTGATAACGATATTCGCAGTTGAGGTCGGTGACAGGTGTAGTGCAAGGGGATGCATGTGTTCTGACTGTGTTGTAGTATATGCAGGATTTGGTAGGGCGCGGATCTGCGATAGGAGATTAAGTTCTAAGAATGTAGCGTGGAGTTCGATAACTATGTGACGGCGGACTCAATGTCAGCTAGGGGATTTGATATGAAGACAATTGGCCCGGGGGGGGGGGGGGGTGGCAATGGAAGGCAATCATACTTTCCCAGTCCTCTGGTGTCAGCGGCTCAATGTTGATGGTATGAGCTACTGGAGGATCGAGATGAATAAAGATTCCGACCTGCTGTATGTTAGAATTACGAGCACTAGCAAGGCTGGGGGCACATTTACCTTCTGTCCATCCGCCAGTCCGAGGACTCGGCCGAAGGTGGTATCCAATTCAACAGTAGAGATTTCCTGCTCTCTGGAAGCAGTGCTATTATTGATACCATCTCTTCCAACGACGGGGGCAAGCTTGCGCTTGCTGGGCATGCCTGTCCAGCCTAAGTAGCATGAGCGATGTGTGGAGTTGCTATTGCTCTTTCCAGCAGCTGGCCGGTATTGGAGCTCGACGATCACATTCTGAGCAGCCTGTAGACTTTAGCTTTAAAATCACTGTGTTGCGCAGAGTAGCTTGCAGCAAGAGATGGTAGCTTACTGTGTTGGCATTGACCAGCAGTGCGACCAGCGACGGCGGGAGATTGACCAGGCAGTTCTTCAAGGGCACCAGAGAGACTTCGGCGGTGGTGGAGGGCTTTCTAGGCGCCATTGTTGCGCGCTAAAGAGCAGGGTTCAGATTCTAGGCGGAGGAGAGAACAGGGTCTATCTGAGATGGCATGAATGAATCAAGATTGACAAGTGCGCAACATCAACCCCGGACTTCGTCGCCCATTGACTCCGCAAGCTCGCCGTTCGCCGAGGCCGGCCCGCCTTGAGCATTCGGGCCGAGGGTTAATCCGTCCCGATACACGTGCCCCTCCGCTAGAGCGAATTGGGACTAACAGGTAATGGAGAGTCCGAGACACGAAAAGACGCGTCGCGACGTGTCTTTGCAATTAAGGCCTGGTTTGGCCTAGTGCCCATCCCACTGGCCCCAGCGACCAGAGCTGCCAAGACAACACCACAGCAACCGCCCGCCTTCTTTTCACCACCACACGGTCCATGCGATTTTGACAAGCCACTACATGCTTCATTGTGCCAGCTATTGAATCGAATGAACCTGGCTAGTGCCTCTGTCGCATAATGTCTTTGCTCACCTACAACGTTCACGTCGACTATGAGGCGCAATTGGAGGGATTCAAGGACTTCCTGAAGCATTTCAAGAGCTTTGAGTCGGCGTCCGAGTCTGCCGCGACCGAAGCCATTGAAGACCTCAATCTTGAAGAGGATGGCACCAGCGACGAATATGATTTTATGGATGATGTAGAGGATGGCGCACAGCGGCCTGGTCGCAGACGACGAGAGCCGAAACTCAAGTATATGCAGCTGCTGCAGGATGTCGCTGACCGAGAGCGCACGAATATTTTGATCGAACTGGACGACCTGACTACTGTAAGGGCCCAGTATATAACGACTATCCTAGACATCTCTAATATCAGAATAGTATGAGAAGTCTCTTCCCGATGATACAGACTTGCGTCTTGTCGAAAGTGTGCAAAAGAACACTCACCACTACATTGAGCTTTTCTCGCGGGCAATCGACGACCTCATGCCCAAGGAGAGCAAGGACATCACGTATGCCAGTCCGTGCTCGCTCACATTGTAGCACTGCTGATTTTTCCCAGGTTCAAGGACGATGTGCTCGACGTGATCATGTCGCAACGTGAAAAGCGAAACGAAGCCATGCTTATGGCGGCAGAAGCCAATGCAGATGCAGAGGCTGCCGACTCGATCTTCCCTCCTGAACTGACTCGTCGCTACACGGTCAACTTCAAACCACTCACACCCTCCGGATCGAGCACCGACCGTCAGTCCAAGGCTATCGCGGTGCGGAACGTGCGGGCAGAACATATCGGTAGCTTGATCACAGTCCGCGGTATCACGACTCGTGTCTCGGACGTTAAGCCTGCCGTTGAAATCAATGCTTATACGTGTGATCGCTGCGGAAGTGAGGTGTTCCAACCAGTCACCACGAAGCAATTCCTTCCGATGACAGAGTGTAAATCGACGGAATGTCAAACAAATCAGTCAAAGGGGCAGCTCTTCCTTTCCACTCGTGCCTCGAAGTTCGTTCCGTTTCAAGAAGTCAAGATTCAGGAGATGGCGGATCAGGTGCCCGTGGGCCACATCCCGCGTACCATGACCGTCCACTGCCATGGAAGCCTCACTCGCCAGCTGAACCCTGGAGATGTTGTTGACATTGCGGGTATCTTTCTCCCTATTCCCTACACTGGGTTCAGGGCTATCCGTGCCGGTCTCTTGACCGATACCTACTTGGAAGCCCAACACATTACCCAGCACAAGAAATCCTACCAAGATACTGCCATGGATAGTCGCACTCTTCGCAAGATCGAACAGCACCAGAAGTCTGGAAACATGTACGAATATCTGTCGCGATCGATTGCACCAGAGATCTACGGTCACCTTGACGTCAAGAAGGCATTGCTCTTGCTCCTCATTGGTGGTGTGACGAAGGAGATGGGCGATGGTATGCACATTCGTGGCGACATCAACATCTGCCTGATGGGTGACCCTGGTGTGGCCAAGTCTCAGCTGCTCAAATACATTTCCAAGGTCGCCCCTAGAGGTGTCTATACTACGGGTCGTGGTAGCAGTGGCGTTGGTCTTACGGCTGCGGTCATGAGAGATCCTGTCACCGACGAGATGGTCTTGGAAGGCGGAGCCCTTGTCCTGGCCGACAATGGTATTTGCTGCATTGATGAATTCGATAAGATGGACGACTCCGATCGGACCGCTATCCACGAAGTGATGGAGCAGCAGACCATTTCTATCTCCAAGGCAGGAATTACAACCACGCTCAATGCTCGGACTTCTATCTTGGCCGCCGCTAACCCGCTTTACGGCCGCTACAACCCGCGGGTGTCTCCTGTCGAGAACATTAATCTGCCCGCTGCACTACTCTCTCGTTTCGATGTTATGTTTTTAATCCTCGATACCCCTTCGCCCGATGCCGACGAAGAGCTTGCCAACCATGTGACATATGTCCACATGCACAACAGACACCCCGAAACCGAGGATGCAGGCGTCATGTTCACGCCCCATGAGGTCCGCCAGTATATCGCCAAGGCCCGGACCTACCGACCGGTTGTTCCATCCTCTGTCTCGGATTACATGGTGGGAGCGTACGTGAGAATGCGAAAACAGCAGAAGAAGGATGAAGACGAACGGAAGCAATTCTCCCACGTCACCCCCCGTACTCTCTTGGGTGTTGTCCGTCTGTCGCAGGCCTTGGCTCGTCTGCGCTTCAGCGATGTCGTCGTTATCGAGGATGTCGACGAGGCGCTGCGTCTGATCCAGGTCAGCAAGGATTCCTTGTCCAGCGACGGCCAGTCGGGTCTGGACCAGAGCCCGAGCAGCAAGATCTACCACCTCATCCGCAGCATGTGGGAGAGTGGTGCCGCGGCGGTCGGCGACGGTGAGGAGGGTGAACTCAGCATGAGACGTATCCGCGAGCGGGTGCTTGCCAAGGGTTTCACCGAGGACCAGCTTACTATGGCTGTGGATGAGTATGAGAATCTGAATGTGAGTTTTCCCCTGATTCATTTGACTACGGTATTAGTGTACTGATGTAATTCTGTCAGGTCTGGCAACTTGTGGGTGATGGCAGCCGTCTGCTTTTCGTTGATACCATGGATATGTGAGCAGCGGAGATTTGTCTGTCTGGGTGGAACGGTTTTCGGGGTGTTTTTGTTTTCGATATGCTTCTGGTCGGTCAATCGTTTCGTGTCTGGGAGACGTGCCGTGCTTGAGGGTTGGTAGCTAGAAATCGGATTGGTGTTTTTGGTGTACAAGACTTCGTGTTTCGCAAGTGTTAGGATAGCCATGATATTCGAGCAATTTACGATCAATAGCATGCGGGCCTGCCTTTCGGTAATTTGTTGCCTCGATGAGATGAACAGATTTCTACATTCGATACAGAAGACTGTGAAAGATGCCCCACGAAATGATCACAGATCAGATAGGAATCCGCAAGAGTCTGAATTTGCACAATTAGTACGGAGTGATGCTTATATATCACTCGACCAAGGCAACGCAAAGTCCTATCTACCTTGTCCAAAAACACATCAAGTCACAACTATAATCTCCCTTAATTCCCCTTCATATTTAAGATCATAAGACCAACTCCTCTCACCCTCCCTTAACAAGAACCCCCCCAGCATCACCGCGCACAGTACCTTGACCCTACTTTCCCACCCAAAAACAAGCTCACCACCCACCTCAGCCCCCTCTTTTCATCGAAAGGTCTCCCTTCAGCCCATCTTCCCCCCTCGACATCCCGCTAAACCGGACAGAAACTCTGCACCGGCACCTCGGCACAGAGCTGCGAACTCGCGCCGTACGGGTTCTCGCACAGCGTGTTGCACTGGGTGAACTCGGGGACGAAGACCAGGAACTGGTAGTTGGGGAAGGGCAGCCGGAACTGCTTGGAGATGTCGGCGTTGGTGGACGAGGCCTTGTAGCCCGCGCGGCAGGCGCAGTGGAAGCGCGTGCCGGTGTTGATGCACGAGGTGGTCACGTCGCAGTTGTTCTGGCCGGAGAGCGGGTTGCAGGTGCCGCAGATGGGCGCTGCGGGGGGTTGCGTGCCGGTTGGGGATGCGGTGGCGAGAAGGGCAAGGGCCAGGGTGGTGGCGGTGATGGCTTGGAGGAGGGAGGGGGTGTACATTTTGATGATATTCCAAAAAATGGTTGGGGTGTTTTTGGTATGCTTGAGATGCTTGAGATGCTTGAGTGATGTGTTGGTTTGATGTACTGTAGATGGTGTGATTTGATCGAGGTAGTTCTTGTGGATTGAGGAGGGCTTAGTGATGCTAGTGCTGATGAAGAGTGGAATGCTTCGATTGATCAGGGCTTGAGGATGAGGGCTTATATAGCTATGGCTTTCCTGGTGGCGGAGGTGGACGGTTGCAGAAACTGGGCATAGGAGGCCTTAGAGCACTGCTCTATTGATTCCAAGGCAATGGGCTATGGCATGATATGGCGGGTCTTGAGAAACCATGACATCGGTAAGTGGATCCCAAGATAGGGCTCAGTGTTACTATTCCCGGTGAAGCTCGTATAGCTCTGAGGCAGGGTTATGCACCGGATACTGCTCTATGTCTTGAACCCTAAGGACGACCATCCGGTCAAAGACGACCATCCAGTCAAGGACGACCATCCTGTCAAGGACGAAGTCTGAATGGCGAGTACAGCCTCCAGCCCCCAGCCTCCCCTCCTCCAACACACACGTCCTAGAACTCGTTCCTTTGAGACAACAGGGTCTAACTTGGATATTGGTGAGAATAGAAGATGAGATCCACCAACCCAAACGCATGTGGTTCGGCAGCGCGGGTGGCCGTCCTGAATACGAGGTCTATGGCTAGTTGTATTTATGTCACCCCTGTCCATTTGTACTGGCGGTGCTCGTCAGTTCCAGGTAGATGTGAGACAGTGTAATGGTTCTTGTTAGGATGTTTGGGCTTAGCTGGTGGCTCGCATCAGGTGATGTAGTATCGGGTCGTTCTGCTCCAGCCGCATGTCTCTGATTAAGCTCAGAAGTATGCACGGACAAGATAAAGAGCCGCTTCTTTTTTAAATTGCCCAAGGATGAGGGGTTGAGATTCTTGAAGCCTGTCCGCGTGACGAGTATATTTCCAGGTAGTTCTTCAAGGAATTTTCTGACGATACGTCTCATGGAGACAAATGGTACGTTAGAAGAGCTAAGTCAGGCCCAAGCTCAGTTGAGGGTTTTCTTGGGCTGCAGAAGCACTAGGGATTGCTGTCTCTCATGGACACGTTCTGTAACCGGCGTTTAGAGCTATCGAAAATAGACTTGACAGCTCTGCACTACAGTAAAGCGGTGGATCAAAGTACTCTGATAGGAGACCAATAGACTTGTCGCTGGGTAAGATACGGCAGTGACTAGATCCGACTACTGTGATAAACGAGTTTGTGGTTGAAGCTACGCATGTCAGGCGTGCTGGATGCGAACTGAGCCCTGTGGCTCTCAAGAACGAAGCCATGTCATGTTGTACGACCATTTCTCATCTGAAGCAAGAGCTGTGCAAAGAAAAGGCAGACACCGTTCATCGACTCGTTCCAGTAGAGTTTTGTGCTCCCGTGTCTCGAGTGATGGGCGAAAAAAGTCAATCGCGCATATACCCCGGATTTGGGGCGGGATATGCATTCAGCCTTGCCCCCAATACGAGCTTGTTGCAGACGTCACTTTGGCTACCAGGGAGCAATCTATGTATTTATAGACAAGATACGTGCTAAGAGTCCATAGGGAATGAATTTCATTATGTCATGACCTAGCACAGCTCCCTGGATGCAAGCTGTCGACTAATATTACAGCCTTTTGTATGACCATAGCAAAGACATCCTCTACAGGTGCATCTTGGACGCTTCAGGCTCGCCAATCAAGTTGAGGAAGCTCTCGTGGACCTCATCCGTCAAATCGCTGGCCTGCATACTGCGGCCCTTGGCCAGGAAAGCCCGTCGGGAGCACTCCCGCGTAATCGAGCTACCAGCAAACGCAGCCAGAAGCAGGGTCGTGCAAGGCGACATCCGCTTATCCTCGGACTCGAGCTCCGCCCGAATGTCTTCCTTGGTATGCGCTTCCTTGGCGTTGTCTTTCTCACCGGAATCCCAGAGCCCGTCGTGGTAGGCGGCTCTCCATGCGAGAAGCGTGCCCAAGGAGCCCGTCAGCGTATCGCCTTGCCCGCCACTGCGCTTCAAGCCTCCCTGAATATCAGAGATGAGCGTCGTGATACCATTCGAGATCACATCGTGGGGACCCTTCTGGATGATGGTGACACCACCCAGCGCATTAGACAGCTGCTCACAGGCCTTGGATTCCTCGCTCGTTCGGTCAGCGCCGCCGGACTTGGAGTTGATTTCCGCGAGACTCGGCACGTCGATGCCCAGCGCTTTGGCCAGTCGACTGAACTCGTTCACGTTGGGCGTCAGAATGCACTCTTTGTACCCGCGGACCAGATCCGGATCCTCGGTCACGAGGAGGAGGCCGTCGGCGTCGAGGACAAAGGGAATCGAGCGGGACCGCGCTTCTTTCATCACCTCCGTCACCACCTTGAGGGTGACCCCATCGCGACCCAGTCCGGGTCCGATCACCAGGCAATGCAGCCGAGAAAGCATGTTGATGATCGGGCTAGCGAGTGATGGTGCATCGATGGACTCGGGGTCCTTGACCGAGGCGCTGCTTGGCAGAATCGGGTGAACCATCAGGTTCGGAGAGTAGGTTTTGATGACCTAGACGAGCAACAATATGAGCATTCCCCCCTGCTGCATCATATGAAGCCGGGTAAGATCTATCACTTACGGTGGCTGCCGATTTATCACAAATAACGTGGCTCTTTTTGTGATTCGTCAGAACGGGGATCTCATGCACGCAAGCAGACAGAGTGGGTTCCAGTTGCCTACCATATCGCAACCTGCAGCACCCTGTCAGCTTGGGGGCATCCCTGTCAAATACACTTGGAAGAAATGCTTACCTAGTCTGGCCGATGCCATTGAAGAGAAGTACGGCGCGCCGGTGTAACTATAACATTCCTCTCAGTTTGTCGCAGTTTGAATCTTTGGTTTGGGGGGCAACGAACTCTAAAGATCCTCCGATGACTGCAACACGTCCATGCTGTCCTAGATTGCTTGTAAGTAGAGAGACTTAGCGCAATGCAAGGGCTGCCAGATGCGAACCTTTGTGGAATTGCTCCAGCATGGGCGGCACCATTTTGCGCGCCTTCTTGAGAAGGACTTTGGAAGAGGTTGATACATGATGGACGGACTCCATTTTGGTTGTGACTTCTAAAGAACGATTGACAGCAATCTGATGTATTGGAAGCAGGTATTGTATTTTGCGATTAGAAGGTAAGCTGATGTGGTTTAAAGAGACGGCGGTGGAGGGAGGATAAAAGTGATGTCACCGCCTGCAGGTGGGGCTGATTGAAGTAATGATAAGAAATCCGGTCCGTCCATGCAAGGCCAATCTGTTACTCAGTTCAACAATGACGATTGCGTTGGTAATGGTTCAATTCTATTGCAGACTCCAGGTCCGGCAGTGTGGCCTGAAGCTCAAAGCTCAAACTAGACAACAGCGACGCTCCCCATGATTGTATGTAAACATTGTGGTAAAATATGTGACTCGAAAGAAGACGATTCAACGCTCCATCTATCGACACCTTGATGCTCGCTGATGCTCATCGGAACGATTTCAAAGACAGCAAAAGGGTAAGAAAAGAAAGAAAACAGCAACGACATATGTAATGCACCCTCGGGGTATTCCTCGCTGATGCTCCGTTTCCAGGAAAAAAATCACAAAACACATAGGAAAATGATGGAGTGGCAGGGCGGGTCCGCCTATGTGTACGGACATCAAATAGTAGTCCAGTCTTTATTCGTCCATTGTATACTTCCACCGCATTATCGACGCGCAGCCAGCGCAGTGAGCTTCTTGAGGCGTTCCATTTTAGCCTGCTTGGCTGCCTGTTCAGCATTCCATTCCTCCTCATCCTCGCGCCTGGCCGCCGCCAGAGCAGCAGCTTCTTCCTCCTCCATAGCATCGTAGCCGGCCTCCATATCTGAAGATCCCGAATCATAGTCATCGTAGTCGTCGGCATAGTCACCCTCATCTTCCTCATCGGTTCCCAAGTACTCATCCATTCTCGACCGTTTGCTTCGAGACTGGGCCCTGAGTTCATTCGGATTCCGTTTGGCCGGCAAGCCCGCTGTTCCACGATATTCGGGTTGTGCGGGACGGGGTGTAGGTCGTGAAGTGCCTTTGTAGGAGAGCTCTTCTGGCTCCCGCTTTTTCACCGGCTTCGTGACACCAGGTTTGGCACTTCCAGCTGCAGTAGCAGTGGCGCCAGGCTTTTTAGCCGACCGACTATCCTTCTCTTTGGTTTGAGCTTCTGTCGCTCGTTTCTTTCGTTCTACCTTGCTAAGCTTCTCCTTAGTAGCAGCCTGATGCTTGAACATACCCACCTGTGTGGGGGTCTTTTCCTGTAGCGCCTTGGCTTTTGCCATGAGGTCTGCAAATGAGCCTTTGGGGGGTGGTTTCGAGGACACCTGCGCTGATCTTTGAGGCGTGGATGAGCGACTTGTGGAGGCAGACGCCACAGCAGCTGTGGGAGCACTGGGACGTGCCCTTCCAGCTGCGGGGATTGTGGGTTTCGTGGCGGTTGATCTGAAAGGGGCTGGCGGTGCCAATTTTGACGAACGGGGCAGCGACTCGTCGGCTTTGCGCTTTATCCCCTGCATGAGGGGTTTCCGTTCTGTTGTTGGGGGAGCATTCCGTGGTCCAAGACTGGTCTTGCGTACTTCGGTTCTGACAGTGGAGGAAGTGACAGGTGGCGATACGGTGGAGGAAACTTGGGGGATTGGGGACGGTTTGCCCGTCTCGATGGACGAGAGAACAGAATCGAGAAACTGGAATGATTATCAGTAACGGCATCGAAGAGGGTGAAGGATGAGGTTCCGTACACTCATGATGAATTTTCAGATAAAAGAAAAATGGGTTCGAGCAGAGGTAGTGTCAAAAAACCCAGACAAGGATGCGAACAAAGAGGGCTTCACCGTCGGTGGTTAGTATGACGGGGTAACTTCATGACTTCGTTGCGGAGCCACTTTAAAGATTCGATAGAGTTCCAAGCCGGAAAGTGCCCACTCTTCAAGATCTCAGGCCAGACATGGGATACAGACAAAAGGAGTGAAAGATGCAGCCAGTGCAAACTGTTACCACCTCCGAGAATATCACGAGGAGGGTCGTTTGGATAAGGCCGCCGGGCAAAAACGGTTGCAAGAAGTCAGTCGCCATCCCATCTTCTGAAAGGCAAGAGAGCCACGTGACCGTCGCATCGACCCTCCCTCGCTTTCGGACACCCAAGGCATCAATCCATTATCCAGAGCACCGCATGCGCCACAGCTGCTCGCTTAGCCGGAACTAGCACGCAGGCCCACGCGCCACAACCCACCAGCCGCAACGCACTTTTCTCGATTTTAGACGATTCGGTTCTCACTTCTTCTTCTTTTGTCCACTACCTCGCTAACCCCCCAACCCGACGTCTCAGTCTCCGCCCAACTTCGCGGTTAAATCGATTGATTCTCGTGTTCGGATTTTATCCAAGAATATCTGTAAGTTCCTTCTGCAAGACGCCTTCTGACTTCCAGTGTGACAATCTCTGCGCATTCTGCAATATCGAGAATAGTGATCTAACAATTTTTTTAATTTCGCGGTTCAGATTCAAAATGAAGCACCTCGCGGCCTACCTCCTCCTGTCCCTCGCTGGCAACGCCAGCCCCTCCGCTGAGGACATCAAGTCCGTCCTCTCCTCCGTCGGTATCGATGCCGATGAGGAGCGCCTCACCAAGCTCATCGCCGAGCTCGAGGGCAAGGACCTCCAGGAGGTTAGTTTTGCGCCTCCCGATTGAAGCACGCCAGGAAACATCGACGCTAACAAGATCTTCGCAACTACAGCTGATCGCTGAGGGTGCCACCAAGCTCGCCTCCGTTCCCTCCGGTGGTGCTGGTGCTGCCGCCCCCGCCGCTGCTGCTGGCGCTGCTGCCGGCGGTGACGCCCCCGCTGAGGAGAAGGAGGAGGAGAAGGAGGAGTCCGATGAGGACATGGGTTTCGGTCTCTTCGACTAAGCGCCTCGCCTCCGCCGAACATCGAGAAAAGCGAATCGGTTCGTGGGGGAATGGGAATCTGGCGACGATTGTTTTCAGACTCGGGGGGAATTTTGCCCGTTGGTCTGGCCAAGCATGGATGCATCAGGCTTGCCTGATGCAGTCGCGAGTCTTGCATAAGTAAGCTGAGAAAAGCTTTTAGCCAATATAGATTCTCTGACCTCCCGATTGATGGCCCCGTTCTCGCGATTAAAACATAATGCGTAGTGAAGATAGGGATGTAATAGTAGCGGCTTGCTACAGTGTAGCCGTACTTGGAACTATAAACCTGAAGCTTTTGTGTAAACGATCTGGCCCCGGCGATATTGATATAATTACAATTACGTATGATTACGGGTCGAACTGCGACTTTCAGCGAATGTTACACGGCCAGCAAAAGACCATGCCAATGATATGGATGTCTATCAAGATTACCCCGTACGTATCAATCGCCCAGGACAAGCCAAAGGCGGTCGGCCCTATAGATGGGTTCCCAAAGCGGACTAGCGGGTAGTAGGGTCCCAACCCTAGGCTAGTCGCTTAGACGAGGCGGCAGCCCACCTCCCGACCGCAGCGTAGAGGCACAAGAGACGCCCGACGAAACGTTCATCGACACGACACGACAACCTATATTCCTTCGCTTTTCGAGTCCCGTTCGAAAAGCGACCTTGAGAGGAACACCCGCAAAAATGGCCGACGAGCACTACGTGAGTACTCCCATATGATATTGAAGGTCTAGCCTAAGAGGCAGTCAAAGGGGGACATATTGACTGACTTTTCACTTGCAGAACGCCGAGGAGGCTGCCGGTACGTTCAACTCGAAATAACCCCCCTTTTTTCCTTCCCATTCCCATCGAGCACGATATAAGAACGAGTTTTCGGATATGCAAAAGGAAATCAGTTATGCGACGAAGATTGAAGGCGATATGGATGTTACTTGTGTGTGTTGGTGATGGCGGGTGGCGGACAATTACTCTCGACAAATTTTCTCGGGAAACGCTTTGACGAACACGACGTACAACTCAAATGGACCAGCCCGCTGACGTATCTTCGCACGAACAGAGATCAAGAGAAAGAGACAGTTCCGCAAGTTCTCCTACCGCGGTATTGACCTCGACCAGTACGTTGCACCATGACTGAACCAACTTCATCGATCCACCCACCCTGGGCCTCGACATCGACCGAGCATCACCAGCGCCTTGTTTTATACGGATACTTTGCGACATATCTCGGTCGTTAAGTCAAGGCTCAGGGAGTTGGACCAAACACATGGGAAGAAAAGATGGAATCTGACTCGGATCACCCCATAGGCTCCTCGACCTTTCCTCCGAGCAGCTCCGTGATGTCGTTCACGCCCGTGCCCGCAGACGCTTCAACCGCGGTCTGAAGCGCAAGCCCATGGGCCTCATCAAGAAGCTCCGCAAGGCCAAGCAGGAGGCTAAGCCCAACGAGAAGCCCGACCTCGTCAAGACCCACCTCCGTGACATGATCATCGTCCCCGAGATGATCGGCTCCGTTGTCGGTATCTACTCCGGTAAGGAGTTCAACCAGATCGAGGTCAAGCCCGAGATGGTTGGTCACTACCTCGGTGAATTCTCCATCACATAGTACGTTTTATCCGCCTCCCTAGCCATCTGTCAGGTTCCTGGTCTAACAACCGCACAGCAAGCCCGTCAAGCACGGTCGTCCCGGTATCGGTGCCACCCACTCTTCCCGTTTCATTCCCCTCAAGTAAAGAAGAAAAGCTTTTCTCTCTGGGGAGTTGTATTGGAGGAATTTGGGCGTACGGAAGTGCTGGGAGAATCTACGAAAAAATGGATGGATACCATATGCATTTCTCTGGGTTCATCTAGTTGTATGTCAAATGCGGGTCAGCTGTTTGCATCTCAATATAAAGGTCTTGTCGGCATGAGAACGAACCAAAAAAAACCCGGGAGTCTTCGGCATTCTCTCGATGATGGAGATATCCCAGGCCTCAGTTTCTTGTCTGAGACTGAGGCCGCAGACTTTTGTTTTAATTCAAGGAGCGAAAGTCTAATTTCACGAATTCACCTTCAACTCGTTCATTATTCCCTGTAGATCACCTAGATCACTGTCCATGGACTTCATCAGCCCTCCATAGTCTTGTCTACCGTATTCTATCCCCTCTTTCCTTCGGCCCGTCCTTATCACCAACTATGCATTCCCATGTAAGGTCCACTCCACTAATCTTCCAAGCTTCCCCCACTCCTCCCGTATTTGTCCCTCCATCTGCATCGGATCCAGCCCCGCGGCCGCAAACTCCGCCTGGACCTGCGCGAACAACCCGCTCACCAACCCCTGGAACGCCGGCACCGCCGCACTCGTACCCTCCAGCCCGACCAACCGCCGCAACACCTCCCACAGCACGAGACTGAAATTCACCTCGAACCGCTCCAGCGCCACCTCATCCTCCCCACCGTGCGCCACCTCCACCCCCTGCGACAGCACCACCGCCAACCGGGCCAGCGCCCACGCATGCACCTGCCGGATCGGATGGATCTCCTGCGGATACACGGCGGGGTCGATGCGGAGGTACCGCACCGCGGCGTGCGCGAAGGCCGCCTTGTAGCGCTGGCAGGTGAGCAGGGCGACGATCAGTTCGTCGCGGAGGGAGACGTAGGGCTGGGTTGTGGTGCAACTCGGGGGTAGGGCTTGGAGTAAAGCGGAGATCTCGGTGGCCAGGGTGGCGGTGTCTTGAGGAAGAGGGTGATCGGAGGAGTAGTCCGAGGATGTGCGAGAGAGGAGGGCGTAAGCTTTGGTTTCTGCTGCGTTTGTTGGTTCTTGTTCGTCGTCGTCTTCGTCGTCTCCATCCCTCTGCTGCTCACATCGCGTGCACCGGCAGCGGAAGTAGTATCGTTCGCGGAGCTCCTTCCGCCGCAGCGGGCGCGGGTTGGTGGTGTCGACGTAGGAGATGAAGATCTGGTCGCCCTGGGCGATGGGCCGGATGGCTTTGACGAACAGCTCGGCGCCGTCGAAGCCGACGACGGTGTTGTAGGCGCAGCTGTGGTTCATGAGCGCCGCGTACGGGTGGAGGTAGAGGCCGATGCGGTCGTATAATGCATTCGTCAGGTTGAAGGAGTTGAGTTCCAGCTTTTGCACAGCAATCCAACATAGTCAGCCTTCCGGATGTCCCCTCTCTCCCTCTCTCTTCAGGCTATATTGTGCTATACCTAGAGCCTTAGAGCGCGGGGACAAGCAAATGCATTCACCTACCTTAGCCCCATAAGCCGAGATCAATTCCTCCACCATCTCAACGCCCGAATAAGCCTTCACAGCCTTCGACGAGATCGCGATCCGCTGCCATTGCGCGGGGTTCTCCGCCCGGATGTCGTTGATATGCGTCTCGAGCTGCCGGAACAGCTCCACCTCCTCGGGGGGGTACTTCTGTCGTTCGCTGCGCAACACCATGCGCAGCACGGCCCTCGCGTTGATCGGGAGAATCCGCGGCCGCAGCTTCTCGAAGATGGCGCATTCGAGCGCATGCGCGAACTTCCAGTCCTTGGCTTGACATGTCTGGGATATGGCAAACGTCAACACGGTTTTCGAGTTGCAAGTCGCAGGAGAGAGAGAGAGAGAGAGAGAGAGAGAAACACCAAACCTTATCGCAGTATTTCACGACCTGGCAGCCGGTGCAGCCTTTCAGGCGTCGGTCTTCGTTCTCGAGCTGTCTTCTTCCCAAGCAGCCAGAGCATATGTTCCCCAACTGGTGGGTGTCTAAGACTGCCACGAAGGGCGTCGAGATGTGCAGGACGTCTTGTCCGGGGCTGATGTCGGTCGCGGCGAAGAGACCCCGTCCTAGACCATCTGGAGCGATTGAGGGTGTGGTTCTTGTCGGGCTTAACATCTTCCCTGCCTTTGTTGTATTGTGCACGATGGTTTTGGGTTGTTGCCGGCTTTTGTTCGGTTGCTGCAGATAGTTCGCTCCAGAGATTAGATCCGAGGATCTTGCGGGACTTGAGCAAACAAAAAATGATTGCCGGTACTTTGATCCACTCTAGCTCTGCCCCCGGAGCTCAATGACAACCCGGCTTCCTACTTCTAGATCGTCTTCCAGCAGCAAACTCTTTATTATCCGGATTGTCGTAGTCCATAGCTTAGTCATATACAGTCCTTCCACAGCACCTCCTACATGTTCGAACTGGAGAATTATGATACACATGTGAAGTGGAGAGAAAGTAGTGCTCAAATAACAACTAAAAATACAATTTTAGTGAGAAAGCCGACTCACCAAGCCTTTCGCCCTGGCACATGGCCATCCTACGAAGACCATGGATAACCAAGGTATGGGCAACACAGCTAATGATCCACAAAACCAGTCAAAAGTACATGAACGTATTCATCGTATCGTCTTTTCCAAGACGAAGCAGAACCCCCTCCAGACCAGGGCCAGTAAAACATCGTATCTATCAACATGGAGCCATATCCGCTACGCCAAACACGGCAGCTGGATAGTGCCTAGAAAGACACTTATCCAACCGCAATTATATCTATAAAGAAAACTTTTTGCGTCCCTTTTTCTCTTCACTGCCATGAAAATTGGTTTACAGCAGCTTGCCGCCAACGAAGTCGGACCAGGTGCGAACCTCGGCAGGAATGCCCTCCTTGCGGGGCAGCTTCTGGCTCATAGCCTGGGCGAAGAGCAGAGCAGTCTATTGGAGAATTGGTTAGACACTGTATGAATAGTCAAATGGGGTTAAGATTGTACGTACCTTGGTCTCCATGAACAAGGGGACACCGAAGTCGACAGCGTTACGTCTCATAACATAGTCTTCGTCAAGGAGAGTCTTGCCACGGGTCTTGGCGAGGTTGAAAGTACCACGGATGTTGTACTTCTGGAAGACCTCACGGAGGGCACGCTTGTCCTCCTTGGGGAACTCAATCACCTGCACGGAGACACCGGCAGCCGACTCGAGGTGCTTCTTGACGGTCTCGCTAGCAGCGAAGAAGTTGAAGCCCAGAGGCTGGAGGTATTCCACAATCTGAGACAAGGCAGGGTTGTTGATGTCACCGCCGAGCAGGATACCCTCACCGGGCTCAGGAACACGGAAGTTCATGGTAGACTGAAGAGAAGCCCAGTAGGCCTCAACAACGTCCTTACCGAAGCAGGCAATCTCACCAGTACTGGCCATCTCGACGCCCAGGAAAGGATCGGCACCAGCCAGACGAGTCCAGCTGAACTGGGGAACCTTGGTAGCAAGGTAAGGGCGCTTGACGCTCATGAGATCGACGGGCTCAGGAACGTCACGTCCAACAAGGGCCTTGGTAGCAACATCAATGAAGTTGGTTCCCAGCACCTTACTGGCGAAGGGGAAGGAGCGAGAAGCACGAAGGTTGCACTCAATGACCTTCAGCTCAGGCAGGGCACCCTCGACATCGGCCTTGATGATCTGCATGTTGAAGGGACCAGTGATGTTCCAAGCCTTAGCGACCTTCTCAGCAATCTCCTTAACCCGACCCATGACAGACTCGTCGAGGTCGGCAGGGGGGAGAACAAGAGTGGCATCACCAGAGTGAACACCAGCGGGTTCAACGTGCTCACTGACAGCGTGGAGCAGGAGCTTGCCATTGGAAGCGACGGCGTCGACGTCGATCTCCTGAGCTCCTTCGATGAACTTGGTGATAACGACAGGGTGGTCAGGTGAAACAGCACTGGCGTTGAGGAGCTTCTCCTTGAGCTCATCGACACTGTAGATAACGTTCATGGCAGCGCCAGACAAGACGTAACTGGGACGGACCAAGACAGGGTATCCAACGGTCTCAGCGAAACGCTCAGCCTCAGCAACGGAAGTGAGCTCCTTCCAGGCGGGCTGATCGACACCAATGCTGTCCAAGATCTGGGAGAACTTGTGTCTGTCCTCAGCGCGGTCAATGTCCTTGGGGTCGGTACCGAGAACGTGAGCACCGCCGGTCTCCTGCAGACGGAGAGCGATGTTCTGAGGAAGCTGACCACCGACGGAAACAACAACACCACTGGCGCTCTCAAGCTCGTAGATATCCATGACACGCTCGTAGCTGAGTTCCTCGAAGTAGAGCTTGTCAGCGGTATCGAAGTCAGTAGAGTAAGTCTCAGGGTTGTAGTTGATCATGACAGTCTTCTTGCCCATGTTGCGCAGGGAGAGAGTAGCGTTAACAGCACACCAGTCAAACTCAACAGAGCTTCCAATACGGTAGACACCGCTACCCAGGATGATGATTCCGTGGTCATCGAAGGTGACATCGTGAGAGGTAGCGTTGTAGGTAGTGTAAAGGTAGTTGGTGTCAGCAGGGAACTCGGCGGCGAGAGTGTCAATCTTCTTGACCCAGGGCCTGATGCCGAAAGACTTGCGGCGAGCACGGACATCATCCTCAGTAGCGCCGACAAGGAGAGCAATTTGCTTGTCAGAGAATCCGAGCTTCTTGGCCTTCAGGATGACCTCCTTCTGGAGACCGAAGAGGCTACCGATTTCCTTGAGCTCATTGTTGCAGTCCACAATGTTCTGGAGCTTGTAGAGGAACCACTTGTCAATCTTGGTCAGCTCGTGGACACGGTCCACAGTGTAGTTCTCGTGAAGCATAGCCTGGCCAACAGCCAACCAGCGGCGGTCGGTAGGGTTCTGCAGAGCATCGTCAAGGTTCTCGAACGCATCGCCCTGGAAACCAACGAAGCGAGGGTCAACCTGGCGGATGGCCTTCTGGAAAGACTCCTCAAAGGTACGACCAATGGCCATGACCTCACCAACAGACTTCATGGCACTGCCAATATCTCTCTTCACGTGCTGGAACTTGCTCAAATCCCACCGGGGGATCTTGGTGACAATATAGTCGAGACTGGGTTCGAAGTTGGCAGTAGTCGTCTTGGTAACAGCGTTGGGAAGCTCAGGAAGGGTGTGGCCGAGACCGATCTTCGCAGCAGTGTAGGCGAGAGGGTAACCGGTAGCCTTGGAGGCCAAAGCAGACGAACGAGAGAGACGAGCGTTGACCTCAATGACACGGTAGTCAAGACCATCGGGCTGCAGAGCGTATTGAACGTTACATTCACCCACAACTCCCAAGTGACGCACAATCTTGATGGCAGCAGTGCGGAGCATGTGGTACTCCTCATCAGACAGAGTCTGACTGGGGGCAACAACAATACTGTCACCGGTGTGGATACCAAGGGGATCAAAGTTCTCCATATTACACACAGTGATGCAGTTGTTGGCGGCGTCACGAACAACCTCATACTCAACCTCCTTCCAGCCACGGAGAGACTTCTCAACGAGAATCTGGGGAGAAAGAGTCAAAGAACGAGAAGACAAGTTCCTCAGTTCCTCAGGGTTGGCAGCGAAACCGGAACCGAGACCACCCAGAGCATATGCGGAACGGACGATGATAGGATATCCAACCTGCTCAGCAGCCTTCAGGGCATCGTCAACGGTGCTGACAGCAATAGACTCAGCGATAGGGATGTTGATCTCGTTAAGAGCCTTGGAGAATAGATCGCGGTCCTCACTAGTCTCCAAGGTCTTGATGCTGGTTCCAAGGACTCTGACACCATAGCGCTCGAAGATACCCATACGGTTCATTTGCACACCAAGGTTCAGAGCGGTCTGACCACCGAAAGAAAGGAAGATGCCATCGGGTCTCTCCCTCTCGATAACGTAGGTCACATATTCCGGAGTGACCGGAAGGTAGTAAACTTCATCTGCAAGCTTGTGATCCGTCTGAATCGTAGCGATGTTGGGGTTGATCAGGACCGACTGCACGCCGGCTTCCTTGAGAGCCTTCAAAGCCTGGGAACCTGCACAAGTTGAAAGACTAAGTGTTAGTCACCTCAATTCACAGGTATAATTATGATGGGCTTTGCATGATAGTGCGCCGCTTTGAGCCCACAGCATGGCAGTCAAACTTCAATCATTGAAAACCAACTCCACGATGAACTTACCGGAATAATCGAACTCTCCGGCCTGACCAATGCTCAGACCACCACTACCGATGACCAAAACCTTCTTGACATCAACCAGGTTGCTGCCGGGCTTCACAACCCCGCTGGCCAGGTAGCTGTCGGCGGAGGGAGCATTCGAGGACTCCGAAGCCAAGCGACGAAGGGCACTGGAGAAAGAGCGCAGCTGCTGCGGTCGCCACGGAGAAGGCGCCTTGGACAATCTGAGACTCGAAGCCGTCGAGTGAGCCGTGGTCTGGGAGGAGAACGGGCGCAGAGCGAGGGCCGATCGACGGGATTCAGCCAAGCATCTCTGACGCAGGAGGGCGGACGTAGCCTGCCCGCAACGAGCGGCGAGAACCATTGCGCGCTGCGCTGATGGAAGCGAAAATTAAGGTGTGAGGAGGGGGGGAGGGAAGGGATGTGCGATGAGTCAATTGAGAGGAAGACACTCTCAATTGCTGGTTTGGAGATTCCGAACAAGGACAAACCTGGAGACTCCGCTTTTTTTTATCCGGCTCTCCTTGGGGTTGGTAGTGTCCCGCTTTCTGCCACACGCCCAAGTCACAAGGGGAGGACTCAGAGGGAGGGTAGATATCCCGACAGAATTGTCTAGGGAGGGAGAGAGAGGAGAAGATGAGAAGACAAAGAAGCAAAGAGAGGAAGAGAAGGGATGAAGCGGAGGAGACGAAAGAAAAAGGTTCAGTCGGGAAAAGGCGATGAGTCAATGCGGCACTTCTCCTCTGAAGGAGGGAGTCATGAACCAGCGCCAATTGCAGTGGAGAGTCCCGAATGAGTCGACCACAATTCCCGAAAGTACAAAAATCTCCCCCAACATTCAGGGCCGATAAGAGCTCCGGTGTGCGGAGCCCTTTTTTTTTTTTCCCTCCTTCTGTGTTAGAGGCAAGGAAACCAGCCACTGGAACGCTGGCCGATCTCGCCTTTTTAGTGGCCAATGACCTCACCGCTCCCACCACTAGCCAATCAAGGAGTACGAGGGTCGGCAACAGGAGTTACGCCTAGTACGGGGAGGTGCAGCGACGCAGATGGTCGATGGGTCTTGACCCCATTAGTGCCATAGTCTAACTGCCTACTAAAAGCCCACTAGCAGCCGGACTGTCCAGACTAGAGCACAGGAGCCTGCGGTTAGCAATACCGATCACTAATATCCTGGTGTGCTGATAATGCTGTCCAGGGGTTAGTTGCACTTCTGGATCTCGATCCCTGGTGAGACAATTGAATGGTTCACAGTCATTGGAGCAAGCCTTGGTTCCTATAGGATAATAATTATTCAATCAGTATTAGACATCACTTAGTCTACTTGTCCTACAGCCGCCAGCTGGTCTAACCCATCAGCCGCGCGTTAGGTGTAAATCCTACCAGCAAGTTTTGCAAGTCTAATGCTAGACTAGTAAGCGTGGTCGTCTTAGCAGATCAATGCTCTTCTGGTCTCCGCTTGCCGGCTAGATAGGGCTCGCTTGCACGCTAAAAAAAAAAAGTATGGCCAACTATGCCAAGGAACGAGGAATCATCTAAGCTTGAAGCACCGGCATTCGGAGGTTATCCACGTCTCGGGGTCAACCTACATACACTCATACTTTCCCGCCTGCTCGATTGATCCTAGGTCATATTACTTCTAGTCACTGTCTTCCACTATCGCACTGCGACTGTCCACCCTCTGATTAGATATAGCCATCACTCCCCGACACCTATAGTGCCATTGAGACCAGCCCATGGACCCTTGGGTTGTGCTTCACGCTGTTCTAATTTGGTTCGGGATCTAGTCACCCGTCCTTCCGATGCACAAGGATCGCCATGGTCTTGGTTTCCCTTCTGATCATCTCGCATGATACTCTCATCATTCTGATTGAGCATTCGAGCAACCGCCTCTAATTCCTGCTTAGCATTCTGAACTGATTCATTTCCCTCGGCCAGCTTCTGTTCCACAAATTCATGCTCGCTGATTCCTGCTTCGTCGGATGCAAATGCCCATGCTTCAGCCAGAGAAATGACTTCGTCCTTCTTGGTGGGCTCAGCGAAGTTGGTAGCGTGACGCAAGGATGCAGTCGCTGCTGCGCGATTCGAACGCGGCTGATTCGCGGGCATTGGAAATTCGGGAAGAAGGTGGCTCTCGTCTCTCAGGCGATGGAGCACGCGGAGGCTTGTAGCTTTCTCCTTGCCAAGTAGGCCGGATAAGTAGAACTTCTGTAAGGCAAGTGCCCGTTGGCTTTTCGAAAGCGGAAGGAGATTTTTCTCCGTGTAGGAAAGCACATCCATTGGATTCAATGATTGCGGCTCCGGTGACGCATCGTTCTTCTCAGTGATACTCGTAGGACGATTTGAAAAGGGCACAGAAGGTACTGTAAGAGGCTGACATGCTCTAGAGGCAGCATCTAGCAGAGCCTTGCGGGCCTCGACGTACTCGGTATATTGCTGTGCCACCTCCGCTTTCTGCTCCTCAAATAGGCGCGTAGATTCCTCGAGGTCTTTGGGGGCCAGATCCAGCCTGGATCCACTGTCTTCGTGACTGCTAGCACTGACCAATTTCTCCTCCACCCAATGAATCAGTTCGTCACGTGTTCGTTGCAGGGCGGCCTTTCTAGCAGCTGGCGTGATGTTAGCTGACAGGGATCCTTCGTCAAAATTTGTTTGTGCCTTCAATTCCTCTAGTAGCTCTTTTTCCCTGTCAAACTGGGCTTTCGCTCGAATAACTGCCTTCTCCAGTCTGTGCATCAACTCCTCAACTCTATCCCCTGCATTGGATGCTGGTTGATCTATTCGTTCCAGCAGCTCTGGCGGCACTCCAAGCTTTTTGTGGCTATCTGCAAGACTCTCAGTTCGTCTTCTGTTTCGTTCCTTAAGCTCCAGTGAGTAGCGTTGAAACACTTGCAGCTTTGCAAGTTGGCGTCGCTCACGGAGGAGCTTGACATATTCGCTTAGGTCCTGGGAAGGATCACATTGCGGTGCTTCGGTTGCTTTCTGTTGTTGTTGCAACTCGGATGCATTTTGCTTCTCTACAGCTGCTTGATATTCCCTTCTCGCAGCAACGTTGGCTTGTAACGCTTCCAAGTATTGCCTCCGCAGTCCAGTAATCTCCGGTGGGATGTGTTCCACGCCGATAACTGCGTCATGGGGTACAGAAAGGTTGAGGTGCGAATTGGCATTGAGTTCGGGGTTGTCGGGGTCATCCTCAGCGAAGATGATGTGCGAGCGAACATAGGCAGTCAAGGCTTGGCGGATACGGAAGGCCTCCTGGCGGCTTTTGAGGTAAGGCGCAAGTGGTGCGGCGAATTCAGGAATAGGCTCACTTGAGAGTGGTACGCAGAGGTCGTCCATTTGAGTTCAGGCGTGTGAGAGAGTGAGAAGAAGGTATAGACCCTATATGCTGCTAGTGGTCAGCTATCGTGTGGATTGTTTGTGGAGAGCTGGGACCGAGGGATCGGGGACGCACTGGAGCTGTGCCCGCTTTTTGTAATCGGCCCGATACAGTGCCGCACAACCGCACCACCGCTTATTTGCGATCATGGGACAGCCCATGCTCCCCTCCCCATGGACCGAAGCGTGGCCCTGACGGCCCCGCAATGTTTACAGTAGGGGAAACACAACACTATATGTCAACGCTGCAGAAAGCAAGTTCATCATGAATTACGAGACATAGCCTCCAAGGCATGCAACTATTGGGTGAACGACCTCTTCGCAAACGTTCCCCCACCTACAGTCAATGACGTCAAGGCTTTAAGTCACAGATTTGTTGCGGTATCTCAAATATATATCATGTAGGCAGAGGAAGATGAAGGAGAGAAAACCGAAAACGAGGGGGGGGGGTTTATACTCTACTGAATTTCCTGATGTTGGAAGAACCGAACGGGTCGCCTTACCCCAGCGGCGTCCATCTCCCAAGTACTGCAGCACGAAAATACGAAGTACCATCCATGCCCGTCTCCAGACCAGAGGCTCTTTGCTATCATGGATGGCATCTCGTCCTTTGGCCTCCGACCTTTAGAGCTGCTACTTTTTATGCATGCCAATCACGACCAAACAAAAAAAGAAATAAGTACCATACCAGATTCCGCATGCATGAGGAGCTGCACTCATGAATGGACTCTTGCGGAGTTCCTCTACCATAAAATTCAGCCAGACTACTTAAGGTATCAGTCCCTAGCCTACCGACCGGTAACTTATGTCACGGTAGGTACAGTTAAACGTACTGTACGTATAGATTCTGCTCGCTAAATGCGCTTCAGCTTAACCAACTGAGACTTTTACTGCTTCTAGTCCCGCCTAGTCGAGTTCGTGAGAGGGGATTTCTTTCCCCGTTACCGTCATAACACTAGCAGCAAGAATGGGTGATGTGACAGCACAGACTGGGTGCCTTAAGTGGGCCCCGGGTCTGTTAGTCCAACTAGGTATGCATGTGGGGGTGGCCAGGGGACCTTTTGTGGATGTGAAGTAACCGGGACCCATTCAGCTTTCATAGAATAAGTGACATGCAAAAGAGCAATATACAGCACTGTACATGGTAATAATCAAGGAGTTCGATACACAAGATGTTCAGAGTCTATGATTATAGACGCATAACAGGCTTGTGTGGTGGTGCATTGCGTGGACACTCGGCCAGGATCGATGACCATTGGATGATGATAGAATTTGATCCATGTCCATACAACCACCGCTGATCAATAGCGACCCTAGTCCGATTTATTCTACCTTTATTTCTATAGTACTGTACGGTACTGCTATGTCGGACAATATACCGTATAATTTTGGAGATGTCAAACGATGAACAAGAAAAAAAAATCAACAATGGAACCATGCTTTGAACCAGTTAAGCGGCATGAGACAGGTTCCATGCAGTCCGAGTAACTCGTCTTGTCCAGCTCAGCTGAAAGGGCTCTGGTTGCAAATCAACGGTGGTCCGGGGTGTGGAATGTTTCAAAGGTCCAATCAAGTGGCTGCTCTCTCCTGCAGGTTGGCACTTTTGGCCAAAGCAATCTAAACAAGTGAATCGTTGTCCGCCGCTACCATCTTAACATATTTACTTCTCTTTCTCCTCATCGCACTCCACCCATCAACAGACTCCCACAAAACTATCCGGGTTCCCTCTGTCTGTCTGCTTTTCTGCTTTTCTGTCTTTCCTTTACTTCTTGACTTGTCTTCCATTAAGGTTTCTTTCGTATCGCTCATTCTACATCAATTCAGGCCACTCAGATCATGACCACAGACTCAAGCTCCGTCGCTATATCTACGCCCAGATCCCGGCCCCGTGCTGCGACGACAGTGCAACCAGCTCCCACCTTCCCCTCGTCCCTTTCTTCCCGACGCTCCTCACAAGTCATGGCCCCTCTTACGCTCTCGCCCACTCTCAACGCCTCAGCAGCAAGCCCGATGCCGGGCGCTGGGGAACAAGACTCCTCACGGGCAACCGCAGTGTCTGGTAAGTCCGTATACCCAAACAAAGAAAATGAATTATCAAGGACCTCGAATTGAACGAAAGGCAGGCCCATTGCGTCATCCCAAACCGCTGACCCCATCCGATATCCATTCAATGTTGGAGCAAGAACAAGAAGCAATGGTATGATTGCTCTGCATCTTGTGCAAATCCTCCAGCTACTGACCCTGCCTGGTGACCATAGGTTAACCGGCTATCGAGAGAGCTCTCCCTTCTTCGCCAGCAAACAGCCTCGGTCGCATCGACTACATCATCAGCATCGACTACACTCAACGATCCCATGGACTCGCTGCACGCCTCCCAGTACATCATCAACTCCACGGTTCCGACGACTTCGCGCAGACATCGCTCCTCTTCCAGCCTCAGTTCCTCCTACATCCCCGCGGTTCAAGGGTCACGGACGGGCAGCGGGTTCGGAATCGCACCGTCGAGAGAGACACAGGTACCGTCGACCCGCACGGACTCGGCGCGCTCGGGGAGGAGTCGAGAGCCGTCGCTCACTTCTCGACAATCGGACGCAGCACTGTCGCAGCATCACTTCCTATCTACCGACCAGCTTTCACCCTCCATAGGGGGGTTCTCGCACCGAAACTCGCTCACTCAGCAGAAGAGCCCTTTTATTCCAGCCTCTCGCCACGAGGAGCTCCTCGCCCAGCGGGAAGAAGTAGATTTGCTGAAGCGGGAGAATGAGAGTCTGCGCCGACGTGTGCGGGAACTAGAGCTGATTGTTCGAAATTCTCGAGAACCGGAGCGTGCTATAGACCACGACACTCAGAATCCAGCGCGCTCCGACGGAGAACAGGGGAGGGAGGCACTGAAGCTTGAAGATTGAAGGGACTCACTTGTGGTGGTATGGCTCGCTCTTCCGGGGTTGAAGTTTGCGTTTGCAAGAACCGTGTTCTTCATTGGTTTTGCCAAGTGCTCAATCATCAACCTGATCCAATAGATTATTCTTCTTCGGCGTACGAGATTTTGGGGCTTGGCATTCTAGTGTCTCCCTCATTTTTCCTTGCTTGCTGTAGGTCAAGCCTCACAGGAATTGGGTAGGCATGAAATGTACCGCTGGTACTCAAAGTAGCCCATTAATTCTATCTTCCAGGATGGATCCACAGCCATTGAACTTTAATTTGATTGGTCAGGAACCCGCTACTCTGTTTCTATGGGCTAAGTTAATTGCTATTGGAGGGATGTCTGACATCCGGCTGCGAGGCCCAACGTACAGTGTCCTGCCATTGATCTTCCCAAGAGTCAAAGACAGCCACCACGAGGTGAGATTCTTCAGCACCAGCGGCGGGCTAGCCGTTGCTTCCCCAGCTATCCAGGTCTATCCCCTGGTTGCTCCTTTCATGAAAGAAAAAAGACCCAATTCTAACTGCAACCTACGCTGCCAACCTTCTATTCTTCCTCGGTAGTTTTGAGGCTTGTACTACTCTAGAAATCTTGATCAATCTCTCCTTCGGGAGATTAACCCATATAATGGGATGACGATATACAGGACATTAGGCTCCGAGCTTCGCAGCGGTGTCTGACCCGGGATCTGGACCCGGGATCTGGACCCGGGATCTTATATGAATCTCTATCAAGAGGTTGGAATCAAGGCTGATTGAGTTAGGTCCTTTTACCTATCAAAGGACTGTACACCAAGGGACTGCCCCATAGGCCACGCGGGTGTTGATAAGCTTTGATATGGATGTGTCTAGGTAATACTCGAGTACTTACTAGACATGCAAGATGAGCTGTTATCTGGACTTCCGATTTTCTTGTTTGAGGTGAATGCGGATCACAGGGTTCCGCATCTGATAGAGAATGCTCCGGCTTATCTCAACATATTTGAATAGACTTGTTGTGAGATTCCAAGAGCGGAGTCTGCTGAAAGGAAAAAGCTTATGTCTGTCTTGATATGATTTACGTAAATCTCTATCAGAAGCGTTGATGCATCGAGATAGTGTTCTTGATGTGTGAGGGCAAGCTGGTCTTTAGGACTGGGGCAATTAGCCACCGGTTGAGTTGTAGAGAATACTTAAACAAGCTCCCGCGGTCTCCCAGCTGAACCCATCGTCACTACTTCTGCAAGATCTTCTCTCACACTTGGAGCTTCGAAATGAAACTCCATCTGATTCCAGCCGTCGTGACGGCGTTGGCTGCCTGTTCCACCGCGCTGCCCAATGGTAGGGTTCGTCATCGAAGAAGCCTGCGTGAACAGGCCAGTCTTCTGACCACGATCACGCCCAGTAACCAGACTGTGGCGGAGATCGTTGCGGGCTGGGACCTCGAGAACCTGACTGTGGCGGCGGTGCGCCTCCCACCGGTCAACTGGCCCCTTCCCATGATGAACAAGGACTGGGCTGGGGTCAAACTTGACCTGAACGGCACCGTCGAGCTGGGGATCCGTTTGATCGAACAGGCCGCTGCGGCGAATGCCCGTGTCATTCACTTCCCGGAGGTTTGGTTCCCCGGCTATCCCAAGGTTAGTTGAGATCAAAACCAGTCTACAATTGTCCTCTCGGATCAATAGGGCTGACGCTTCCCCAGGGTATTATCAACTCCGATGTCCCGAACCCCTGGTTTGAATACCACGTCAAAGATTATATCGAGAACTCCTTGGTGGTTGGTAGCGACAACTGGAACAAATTGGTGCAGGCGGCGGTTAATAATCGCATCTATGTTGTAAGCTTTCCACTTAACGTATCTCCGCTCTCATACTGGATTGCGATGCCAGCAGAACCTGACCCCCTCTGCAATTTGATAGGGACTTTCGTTCTCCGAGAAAGATGCCGCCCATCTGTACATGGCGCAGTCCCTGATCGCCCCCGATGGCGAGATCCTCATTCACCGACACAAGCTGCGGCCCTCGGCCCAGGAGCGCGACCTCTGGACGGACGGCAAACTCGACCAGATCTACGCGGTCAGCACCCCAATCGGCCGCATCGGCATGCTCTCGTGCGGCGAGCATACTGCTCCCGAGGTCACCTTTATCATGCAGTCGCAGACGGAAGACATCCATCTCGGCTCGTGGCCGTAAGTCTCTCATATCCCAATCGTCCATCCACCTTTCTTGGACCCATCTGCTGACTTTTTTTGTGGGGAAGTGTCGTTCCCGATTTCGGCAATTCCAGCCTGACCTACGAGTCGGCTGAGGTCATCACGTCCCTGGGTCGGGTTTATGCCATTCTGGGGGAAGCGATTGTGGTGCAGGCGGCCGTCGGTACAGCCACAGTCTTCCCTGCAGGGTCTTCGGCAGTCTGGTCCCAGGCCGTGGCCAACGTTTCCTTCGCCGACTACCCGCTGGTCTACCGCTCGTTCAACGCCAGTACCTTTACGAACACAACTTATAACGCCGATGGGGAAGTCTCGTGGGGCACCCTGCAGGCGATCAATGAAGGGTTTCCTGAGTACATTCCGCAGGTGCAGGGCACGTTGGTGCCCTGGCGCCAGGACCTCATCTCCACCCTGCTCAATGAGTCTGTCGTTTGAGGGTTCAAGCTTCGCGAGTGATGGGTCACGCCTCATGCAATGTATTATGATGGAGAGGAAAGGCGGGGGTTGTTCTGTCGTTTGAGTGTAGACATTAGCTTTATAGGCTCTAATGCAATTATAAGAGAGCATCTCCATGAACAGGAAGCGGCTTCATTACAAGGAAGTTCTACAATCGTAAAATAACCCCCCCCCCCCCCCCATGCTTCGAATATGGACAATGGACCCACCTACAAGGCATGGCTCAAATGCATAGGCAGCGCCCAAACGACTGACCACCGATACGCAATCTGCCGGAGAGCATCAATCGCCCCGGTGTGCCTTGAGCGGCCAGCTCTCCTGCATCTCTTCCAACGCTGCTAAACATTCTTTGAGGTCGTTGCAAGGTCTGCGTCCCGCCCCCTGCTTCACAGCCGCGGTGGCCTGTGAGAGGAACATTATTTCTGCGGTGAGCAAATGCTGTATGAGGAATGGCGGGGCCTGTCTGCAATCTCCGATCCGCCGATGGTGCAAGCGAGCCAACTGAGCGAAAGCCTTGGCGGCATCTCGTACGGTTTGGGTGGCCATTTGTGCACTGATACTTTCGTGGCTACGCAGTCCTTGTTGTTCTTCGGCGGCTTGCCGAAGGAACGGACGGTGAATCAGAAGGCTCGAGTCATAGTAAGACATGTGCAGATAATTCACGCGGCGGAAGGGGAGGGAGGATTTCTCGGGCCCCGCTAGCGGCAGATGCAGTTTGCATCAAGACGATCATAGAAGGAGATGAGAGCCTCGTGAGCGTTTGCAAGCAGTTGGCATCTGCGGGAAACATCATTTTCCTGGGGTTGAAAAGCGTATCTGAATAAATGGTGTCGAGATGGTTAGACCTATCGAGCCCGGTGAACTGGAAGAAAAGAGTGGCCTGCTGACGTACATTTGATCCATGTGGATATCATGGAGATGCCAAAGTTCGCACTGGTAGGCGAATGCAATCTCTTCGATTGAGGCGTTGTCACGCAGAAAGCCACTTCATACCGGCGATCCCACTCGCCCCCATGCAAGGTTGCAGTGTCTCCCTAGGTCTGTAGTCGCCATTCTGCGCAAACGTGCATGAGAGATATCAGCCTTGACGAAGCCCATGCAGAAAGGCCCTTCTGCTACTCAACTGCATGTCTTTCCCCTATTTCGACAAGAGAAAGATCAAATGAACCCCAGACCATGGCTGAACTTACCGTTCGACAAGGAAATAAGACCAAAAGACTTTTAGGCTGATCGGTCTCCGGGTGAAAGACTCCGTCACGCGATGGTTGTCGCTTGATTCAGCAAGGAACAGTGCATGGAGACTCAAGTGAACTGCAAGTACAGCCGCCATAGCTTTGACCAAGAGGCGAGTTAGACATCCATCCTTATAAGCACATTCGACAGGATAGAGCCTTGCTTACAGATATACATCCACCCCATGTTCTCCTGGCCTAAATTGAGCTCCCGCCCTGCCAGCACCGACAAACTGAGGACGGTGAGCTCCCGTGGGCGAGACGCGCACTGCACGACAGCGGCACGCTGGGCCAAGTCTGCTAGTTTATTTCCAATCGCCTGTCCTTCGGCAACCGGCTGTACGATGATTCCGTTATACAGGCCGCCTGGCGGTAGAATCGAATGTCTTCCTCGTTGCAGAGGTTTCCCATCTGCCGTAGCTCTCGGGGATCGAGAAACCCGTAGTACGATGCAACGTGTTGCATGAAGTACTCAATCAATTGATCCTCGACGGCGGCATCGGTGACGTCGCACCGCGTGGGTTCGGTCTCACAGCTGGTGTGGGATAAATCCGGCTCTCTTGCTAAAGGGGCATCGACAGTGACGCCGGGGAAGCTAATCCCGCCCAAAGGACCTACGAAAGATGGCTCTCCTTCCGTCCCAATTGTGAGTTTCTATGTCATGAATGTAAGTTCATCAATAGCCGATTGTGTACCCAGAGCAGAAGACTTCGGAGCATCTTCCGCTACTTTGTCCCATGTACTGGATGCGGTGTCTCTAGCTACCTAATCTAAGCCTCGATCGGGACTTTCAAGGAATGCAGCAGTTGAACTACCACCGTGTCGCGCAAAAGCTGCCGCTATCAAGGCATCCATCGATCTCTTGTCTCAATTCTGTATTTTCACGTACGAGAAACTCCACATATTCCTTGTCGACAAAGATTTATCTGGCCGAGTCAAAGTCCATTGTCAGCTTCCAAGATCCATTCAACCTGTAATGACCCACATTCGTAGTTATCATGTCCTTACTTCCTCTGTACCGGTCGTTCAGAGTAGTAGCACACTTTGTCGAGTCTCAAACAGAGACTAAATACGGGTTGCGCTCCATCGCACTATCTCCTCGCCCACGGGGCTCCGCATCAGAATTGATTGTGCCGGCCATTGAAGCCTCAGGGTGGATAGGAGAACCTTTCCCTTGCCCTTTTTGCAAGACTCGCAAAGCTGAGCCACGCACCGGCTTTCGCTAAGGCCAGAGTTGACCTCCATGAGATTATGAGGAATACGGTAGTATAACATGAGTGTCGTATAGTGAAGTTGTTTCTCTACCTCTGAGTGGTCAGATGTGCTTACGGTATCATTGCCAAGCTAGCGACGAATTGGGCCCGGAATAGCTTTATCCTTCGTTCCGAACCGTTATAGTGTATCGATTCAAAGATTGTCCTACTTTAACAGGATACCGAAATTAGTTAATCAGGTAGGTATTTGGAAATGCCTAGTCCAGCTCTACTTAGTGTCAGAGTTCATGAGTAAATGATTATGAATGTGTGGATGCATAATGGTACCTGTACCTAGCTACCTATATATAGGAGAAGAAATAGGAGAGAAAGATTGTTTCACATGGGGGTCCAGCGTGGCTGTGCGGGGTCGCTGCCTGCTGCTGCCCCTCGCGCGACGTCATTTGTGGCGTAGTGCCGCCCGCTCTTCCCCCCAAATAAATAACCACCAGCTCCTCCTCTCTCCTTTCCAGTACCCATCAACATTACACTGACTCTTATTCATCACTCAACTGAGACTCTACCTGACCAGATACCTTCTTAATACTACGTACCTCTACCTCAATCACATCCATCATGTCTGAGCGCTCTACTGTTCACGTCGAGGGCATCGCCCCCGCCACTACTGATAAGGAAGTCCAAGACTTCTTTAGCTTCTGGTCAGTGACGCAGGCATCCCAGGCCCTTGCATAAGACATGCAGCTGACAACATTGCAGTGGAAAGATCACTTCCATTTCCGTTACACCTGTGTCTGGTGAAGAGGGTGCTCAGAAGTCGGCCACTGTGACCTTCGAGAAGGAAGCGTAAGCCTTGCCCCGCACCCGCTCCCCCATCCCGCCCATGGCTCATATTGCACCATCCCTTAGCCTTAGCTCTTTCTTCCTCCCCCCACCCCCTCTCATGACATAACTAACCCGTCATCTAGTGCCGCAAAGACCGCCCTGCTCCTTGACCACACCCAATTGGGAACCTCGGTCGTTCACGTCAAGGCCGCTCACTCTCTCGATGATATTGCCGGTGACCACGCTGCCAGCGCCTCCGAGGCCAAGGATGAGCACGACCATGACCTCGAGCAGGAGGACAAGCCTCGCTCCCGTATCGCTGCTGAGTACCTGGCCCAGGGATACGTGCTGAGCGACACCGCCATCCAGAAGGCCATTGCCCTGGACCAGAAGCACGGCTTCACCTCCCGCTTCACCAACGCCCTGGCCAACTTCGACAAGAAGTACAACGCGACCGACAAGGCCAAGGGTCTGGATGAGAACTACAAGATCACCGAGAAGGCGAGCTCTGGCTGGCGCGGTCTCCACAGCTACTTCGAGAAGGCCCTCGAGACCCCCTCCGGCCGCAAGCTCCGGGATTTCTATGCCCAGACCGACAAACAGGTCCGCGACATCCACAACGAGGCTCGCAGACTGGCGGACTTGAAGAGCGGCAAGAGCGAGGGTGACGAGCACAACGTCAGTGCCGCCCCTACCGCTGGCGCAGGCGCCGAGGGTGTGGGTGCCGCCCCTGCTACTGCTGCGGCTCAGTCCTCCGGCACTGCCCCTTCTGCCGACCAGAAGGCATGAAAATGAAAAGGTCTTACGAGGTCCAACCCTTTTTTCTGTTGCTCGCTCTGTACGCCTAATGACGACCTGTTCATTCACATGCTTGAATTTGCACGTTCTCGATGTTCATAATATTATCTCGGCGCGCGTCTTAGCTAGTTAGTTGTCTGGAACAAGCGATTGTGTGTATTGTCTACATCTAATTGAGTTATGATGTTTTAATCTTGAGACTCCGTTCCGCCCAGTACGTAGAAAATCAGCCTTGGTTCGTATGCGGATATTGTTGAAAACAAGTACAACAGCCCGCGTGTTATCATCTACAACTAAAACGGCTCATATTTCACCCCACTCGACCACCGAGACACGTAGAAACAAACTTAACTACATCACGTATAGAGACTACGATCAAATACTACACAGCATAAAAATATCATCTCAGACGAAAGTTTTCATTTCATTTCTCGCTTCAAATCATTAAAATTTTAAAGAAAAATTGTGTTTCGTAGCAGAACATGAATCCTCAACCCGTTCAGCTGCCCTTCCTGAACTTCGCAGCCTCGATGTCCTCCAAGGGATGCTTGGGGTTGCTTTCCAGCGACGACTTGGTGTTCTCGGACTGCTCCTGGGAGACCTGGCCGGGGCGGGTCTCGTAGGTCTGACCGGTCTGGCCCTGGGACGGGGGCGATTGCTGCTGCGCGCCGGTCTGGGACTCGGGAGGCGGGGACTGGCGGCCGGAGTTGGGGGCGGACATTTTGATGGTTGGATCTGGATGAAGAAAACGAGGAGAGTTCGCGGTCTGAGCATTCCGGGAATTGTTAGTTTAAAGGGTTTTCTGTGATTGTGAAGTGAGGTGAAGATGGAGATGAGCGGTACGGACCTTGTGTGGTTGGTAGTGAGTTTGATTCTTGCGGAGATTCAGGGTGCGTGGTTTGTTGCAGGTTAGGTCAGGATTGTGAATTGGGTGGTGGAAAGTTCTTAAGTACAAGTGCTCGCTAGGCTAAGGAAGATATGATATCGTTGATTGAGGGGGGTGGTAAAAGGTGGGTGGCCGGTTTTTCTCAGCCGGCATCATCATGACGTTTTTGGGGGGCTCTTCCTCTCTGATGTTTGCGGTGGGGGGTCGTTTGGTTTCCACCCTCCAGGTAATTTTGTGGGCTTGTTGAGGAGGTTCGAATTGGCTATGGAAGTTAGTGGACAGGAGGACAGTACTCCTAGCTCCGGTTTGTTTATAGTTGGATTCACCGGCGAGCGTGGCTTTGCTGCACCTTTACTACTCAGTATATATCGGTTATGTCTTTTATTGTTGCTGCTTGCTGCTGGAAAATGAGTAGTGATGTCATAGTCGAGTGGGTGGGGTTTGCTATGTTTGTCTCAAGCACGTGATCGGGAGCTGTGCAAACAAGTATATGGATTGTAGTTAATGCCAAATATCATTACAGATGGACAGGCATGGTTTAAAGACGGATTTCGGTAATCGCTATATGCTGAACACTTTGTACGAAAAAAAATATAGTGAATTAGGCGATGCCCAAATCAGCATCTTCGCGGGATTCTATTATTTTTTGGGTTCTGTTTGACTGTAGCTGTCCTCCATAGATGGAGACTGGATATAAGAATGCATTTTGAGGTCGTGACCGACGTAATCATAAGTCAATTGACAAGGATTAATCTGGGGGAATCGGACATCAAAGTCTCGGGTCATAAAAGAGGTCAAGACCGATGAAAAGGGGGACTTTTTGGGGAACCAGAGGAAATCAAATACAGGCCATTGTAACCTTGAACACGCAGGGGGTGGAGAGGGATATGATCTAGGCAACAAAGGAAAGGAGAATCAAAAGACAATCAGAAGAGGCATATATGGCGTGGTGCCGTATCCAGTGAGGCCGTTCGACTGTATTGGATGTCGAAGTGACCCGGAAGAAACATAGATGTCTTGTCAAAACAGTCCTCCAACCTGGGATGGCACTTTTCTTTTGCATGAGTTTGTTTTCTTTTTTCTAAGTCATGTCATCGCCTTGGTAATCCAGAGATACCGACTGGTTCATTTCGTCAGTCCCCGGAGAAGATTGCAGTATGAATCAGTTTCCATTAGCCTGGGCGCCTGCGGCTTCGGCATTTGCTGCAGCCAACGCCTTCGCATCGGCTTCGTGGAAAACGGCTTGGAGTACCTGCTGCTCCTCCGCGCTCAGAATCTTTGTCAAGTTGTCGTAGAGTTGCGGCTGTTCTTGTTGAAGGCCTGTGTTGAAGTCAGTCAATAGTACAGCGACACCAAGGGGCTACATACTCATGAACACATGCTTGAACATGCCATAAGGCTCAACCTTGTCGAGAGGAGTCTCCAGCAAGCTTTCTTCGTCCAACTCATCATCATCATCATCGGCAAATGAGCCGAACTTTTGAGCCTATCGACGTGATTAGTATCCCTCTTCGAGATATTGAGATGACAAAGGACTCAAGTCTCCTGGACTCACCTCCTTGTTCAAGAAGTCGAGGTAAGCAGTGGTCTCGTCGGCAACGTCATCTTCCAGAACGCCCTCGGCTTCGTCCCGCTCAGTCCACTCAACCTCACCATCCCAGTCGTTATCCTCATCATCAACATCATCTTCGTCATCATATGTGAAATCGGACTCCTTGGTAGCATCTTCACGGTCTAGATGGGTATTAGCGTACTTAATCTCTCGCCATCTCTTTGTTGCGGACTTACTCTTGATAGCAGCAGGCAGGGTTTGGAAGAGTCGAGTCACTCCTTGGAGAAGTCTAGGCCAACCTTGTTGAACGCTAGTCGGGACATCGCCAGCCTTCAGGGTCAATAGGGAGCTGATTGCCGCAATTGACAGCTTCTTGTCATGCACCCGTCTGAAGTTGTCGATGTTGGAGAACCATGTGCTGAAGAACTTGTTTGTCCAGCCATTGGCTTCCAGCACCTGTAAGCTGAGGACAGGGTTGTAGTAAATAGCGTTGATAACCATCTCCATCAAGTGAATGCGGTAGGACTTAGTGCGCGCCTCGCCGGCGTCAATGACACGCATCGCGAGCTCAATAAAGACAGGGATGTACTGGTCAATGTAGCCACGAAGGTTGAGCATCAGAGTCTCGGCGAGCTTGCACCCGCAAATCCGGTCAACACCGCCCACCTTCTCATCGTGGAAGATATCCTGAACCATACCTACAACGGCCGCCAGGTAAGCGGGGTTCTGAACCAACATTTGAGAGCCATAGGCGATATAGTTGTCGAGAGCAGGGAGCATGTCCTCAAGATAAAGCTCAGCCCCGGCCTTGAAGGTCTTGTGGATGAGCTCGAAGGCCTGCCACATGGTGGGAGAAATCGACTTAGAGGCAAAAGTACAGCTATCAATGATCTCAAAAACTTCGTTGTACAAGTCATACAGCTTGTTCTCAAGAGTGATGCTGATGACAGGCATGAGGATGGTCTCGAGGTGAAGCAGCACATCTGGAGTGCTCTCGAGAGTGAGAATCAAGGTGCCAATCGTCTGCAGGACACCAAGAGCCGTGATACTCTTGTCATCCAGGAAGTCGCCGTAAGCGTCCTCGTCGCCCTTGGTGGCATTGCGTTCCAGAAGCTCTCCCACAATACGCATGTAGGTGTCGCGAAGCTGCTCGCTGAGTGCCACAGCGAACGGAGTAAGCTCGGCGGAGAAGACCTCGACGAAATCCTCCATGACGTTGGCGAGAGCATCCACATCGACCTCGTTGGCGAGCTTGAGAAGCTGCTGCATGATCTGGGGGATATTTTGCTGCATTGAAGTCCTGATGATGTCGTGACGGATAAGGGGCTGCAACGCGAGCGCAGCCTCAACCCTGACAGGTAGTTCAGGGTCCGTCATGGACTCTAGGATGTTTCTGTAGATGATCATAAGGTTGTTCGGGTCCTGAAAGTCAAGCTGTTCGAACTTCTCCAGAGTATCGCATGCACGGGCTCTGAGGAAGCCATGAGGGCTTCGGAATTCTGGGAAAACGTGACGGACAAAGAAGTATTCGACCTCACCAGCGATAGGACTTTTCTTGCCCAGGATGACAGAGGCCAAAGAACCGATCATCCGCAGAGCGCCTTCCTTCTCCCGGGGCGACTTCTGATCTTCCGGAGCAGACTCATACTTGCTAACGACGCCGTTCACAAATGTGAGAATGGCGAAAGTCTGCTTCTTGCGGTTCTTCGTCAAAGCAACCAAGAAATTGGTGGCGGCGACATCAGGCGCCGAAACCTCTTCGTAGTAGTTCAACTTCCGGTGGAGGTATTCCGAAGGATCCTCCTGAAATAGCTCGATGTCTTCATCAGACTGGCACAGAATCGGGAAGATGAAATGAGCAACCAAGTTGTCCATATGAGGCTTGAGGTGGTCCCACATCGCCTTCGGCTTGACACATTCCTCCAAGAAAACCAGAGTGTAGGCGAGCGCCGGGTTGCTGAGCCACTGACCCTTGGACACCCACTTGTCAATCTCCTGCAAGTATCCCTTGAGAATTTCCGGGGCGAAGTTGGCAATAAAGTTCTTGGCATATTGAGTGTAATCGGGAGTGCTCGACTTCGTCATCGTTGTGGGGTTTCCGTATCTACACAGCGAGGTCAGACAAGAGTCCGGTTTCCAAAGCTGTGCCATGCATGTTACATACCTGATGAAAAGACGGTTCAGATTGGCGTACGACCACTTCTTGCACTTCCACCAGTGGTTCAGCTCTCTTTCTTCCTTAGACTCCATCATAGCATTGGCCGGAGGCTGCTTGGCAATGATGCGCAAAAAGAGCGTGCACCAATCCACCGTAGCCTGCTGCGTTTGAAGGGACGGCGAAAGTTCGAACTAGAATCGTCGCAAATGTTAGCTACCATGATGCGACGGGTGTTCCGCTCCGGTTGACCCACGTAGATAGCATGCTTGTATGACTTGACAACAATCCGAAGCATTTCCGCAGCTTCCAGACTTTCCTCATCGACCAACTTCGATCCGATATTCAACAGTTGGGGGAACGTGTGCTCAACGATCTTATCGAATTCTTCCCGCTTCTCTCCCGCCTTGAACCTGTACACACGGCAGATCGCCAGCAAGCACTGGAGTCCAGCGTAGACCGAGTTCGCATCGTTGGTTCCCAGCAGTTGGAGGGTGATTTCTAGGAAGCCCGGCCACTGCTCGGGGAAGTCATGCTGGAGGATCTTTTGGAGAAGGGGAACAAGCTGTGCTCTGACATTCGGCGGGGTGGACGCCAATGCCGGGATCAGTCGCTCTCGAAAACTCGGTTTTTCCTCCTCCGGGATCGGTGCGCGCAAAGGACTTTCTTCGACAACAGACCAGCCGCGAGTGATTCGGTTCTTCAGGTAAACACCGGCTATGCATAGAATACTACTTGTTAGCTGATGAAACTTAGCGCCTGGGATCCCAAGGGGAAACAGCGGTAGGTGATCTTCAGGCAGCAGAATGTCCAGGTACTACCTACCCGACAGTTGGACGGCATTATTTTGTTCCCCCTGCAAAATATCCAGAAGCGCATTTATGAAGCCCGGTTGTGTCTCGGCCTGAACAATACTGAATAAGTATGAACCACCTTCAAGCCTGTGATGCTATGCCACACATACATATTTCAAGTCCAACTCAGCTTGGCGTCTGATATCCGCATTGGCGTCGAGGGTAGACTGGATGCGGTCTCTCAAAGCTGCAACATCCATCTCGCACCAGTGACGGCCCCCGGTTTATAGGTATAAAGCTCGGAAAAAAAAAAAAAAGAAAGGACCCGTTACGT